AATTTCAATTGACGCCGGCGTCAATTGTGGTCATGCGACCTTCTTGCCGCTGAAAATGAGCGTCGAGCGTCAGCATGAAAAGGCACCTTTAGACTTGGGTTTTAAGCTGCATATGTGGGTCTATGGCGTCCGAGTCAAAGTGATATCTGCTCGAAACTGTAAAACTTGCAAGCCTGTCCGAAAATATTAAATAAACGAAGTTTATCAAAATGACTATAAAATCGTCAACTACAATATAGACAGATGTTTCATGACTTTTTTTAGATTTTTTAAAGTACTTTAAAAATATAGCTTTGACATTTTAATTATTGAATGAATAATTCGACACGACCCGTCGAGAAATGTTAATGACGTTTATTATATTGTATTTCAACTTCATTCGGCTAATAAAATTCTTTATATTATATATATTATATATATATATTATTCATAGACTTACTTTTACTTTAAATTTATTAAATAATGTTAATAACATTATATTTTTTCAAAAACGTTTGTAGAATTATTTATTATACAAATCTGTTTATTAACTCTATTAATTTCGTAAAAAAGATTTTCTGGACCGAGAAACAAATTGATTCGACTTAAAAAAATAAACGCAAAAATATATTAGTGTTTATTACATTGGAACCAAATAGTTTTTATTTTAATTGCAACTATTAAATATACATTCTCTGTAATAAAATATAACTTTTTCTTCAGAATAAATTATTAAAAACGATTATTCCTGACAGAGTTCGCTTGAAACTTTTGAACAGCACTTTCTATTATGTATGTTAATAATTTGTCAACCATCAGCATTATTGACCATCTAGGACTGTATGGTACATCATCCAATACTTCTTTATACAAGGTACCCTGTGATGTCATATGATACACCGATTGCAATGTAATTTGCGGTTTCTCTTTCGGAAATATTGATGAAAGATTGAAATGTATAAGAAAATGGAAGTCTCGGTATTCCAACAATATAGTAATCCAATTAAACTCTATAGCATCATATTCCAGTATGCTGCCACGCTGTAATACAATTAGAATCGCAATAAATTCTTTTCTGCTATCAAAACATTGAACTACACTGCTTATCTGCAACAGAAAGTATGTAGGTATAAATATCTTTTGCCAATTAAATAATCTTGTAAAATGTGAGTATAAGAAATTATATACTTTCTCTTCCATGAATTTTATCACTTCAGGAACATAATCCATTAGATATTTGTTGGGCGGTAATGGTGGAATACGCAAAGATTCTGACCCACCGAAAATATCTTCCAAAGTCTTGGATAAATAAAGTTGCGGCAAAATACGATTCCAATCTGGGCCATAAAATGTAACCAGAAGCATCGCCTCGTTATTCTGTGATTTATTGATACGCGGAGGCAATCGAGAATAATCCATAGATATGCGAATTAAAAATCTTGCTTCTATGGGCTTCGATCCTAGTGGTAACATCAGTACTTCTATATCTTCTTTATATATTTCTGTTTCACCAACGAGTGTGCTGTATTCAAACTGCAATCGATCTCCTTGTTTTCCAAGTAACAGTATCTGGAAATGAATTAAATAATTATAATTAAATATAAACTTTTATAAAAATATAAAGAATGTATTATACATCAAATTTAAGATGTAAATGATGAATATACATCAATGAGCTATATAATGACAGTTACCACTTACCTGATGTTCTTTGTAATATACTAACAATTCGATTAGCACATTCAGCAGTGCATCGATATCATTAGGATTCCATTTAACAAGACTAGGCACCCAAGTAGATAAAATATCAATGTCAGGGTCCATTAAAAAATTCTGATCGTTGAATATGAAGTCTGGGCCCATTTCTGGACATTGTGAATCAAAGAATACATTCCATGCGAGATGTTCTCCAGCATAAGGAATTGACAACTTGAAACAATCATTTTTGTTCCTGTTGCAACTTGATGATACCGAATCCAATTTTATCAAACCATAACAAATGCCTTAAGAAAATGCAATATATCCACAATAAAAAAATAATTTTTAATTATCAAATATAGATAAAATAAAGAATTAACAATAAATAAGTCTTACCTAATCTCCTAGTTTGTAAGACACGCTTCAAAAGCGGCTCTATGTATGAGTCTATGGTACTCAATAGAGGATGTTGTTGATTTAGCATCTTATTGTCAAAGTTGGAACTATAAATCGCATAATCAAGATGAGTGAGAGAGAGATCAATATTTTTCACCACTTTACATCAATTTTTAAAATTAAGCAGCTTTTATCTGGCAGTATTCTGTATATGGTTAGAAACGGATATCTTGTCACATATCATCCCTTTTCGAAGAACTGACATTTAACTTCTGTAGTTTAATATTTCTCGAATGCTGTATAACAATGTTCCAGTCAATGACTATATACTGAAAACAGATAAATAAAGCGTGAAATGTAATATCTCTCCAATGATGCTTATATATACATATGATACATATGTATATATAATGCATATGTATATATATACATATATACATATAATGCAGTGAACGTATATTCGTCAATTTTTAACAATTTTTAACCGGTGCTGTCTAATCTGCGGTCTTTTAATGTTAACTCAGGTTAATTGTTAATTCCCACCAGAAAGAAACCTCAGGACCGTGGCACATAGAAAAACTTTAGGCTTTCGCGAATTGCCATAGGCAGTAGAGTTCCTATAAATTGGACACCCCATTAACGATTCGTGATTGGTTCTTTGATCCGCCATATATTTTAGCCAAGAAGAGCGGAAGATATAAAAATATTTTTATAAGGATAAGTATATATACTATAAATAAGAGATTCAAGTATACATTACATTATATTTATTTATTAAATAAGGTTAGATAAAATTAATGTAAAAATATGTAATATATATTGAAATTAATGTTTGAATTATCTAATTTTTTCTTGTAATTTTAATAGCAATGTAAAACTTAACCTAACCTTTGTTTATGCAGTTAAACTTTTAATACAATTACAGTTGTTATTAATATAAGTATAAAATGCCTGGCTGCGCAGCACCCAACTGCTATAATTCATTAGAAAAAAATTCAAAATGTGTACTTTTCCACTAAAAGTCGACCCAAAAAGGTGTGCAGTTTGGGTTAAAAATACGAAACGGAAAAATTGGACATCAAACAAACATTCGATGCTTATGTCAAGTAATTATTAAAATGGAATTCTTTATAATCTATTTACATTATATAATAATAATTATATTCAATTTTTAATTAAAGGTTCTCTTTGCACCAGAATCTTGGGAACAAAACCGTAGCACATATTATAGCGTTTTTCATTGGCAGAACTGGTGCGCACTCAGTGCGCATTAAGGCCGTTGTACACTGATTTAATCTCTAATATTTAAAGTAAAATGCAAATATTTCGACTGATAAAATACCCAGTACATATTTTACCAAATAGTGCAATAAAGAATATTGAGGATTTCATGATTTAACCCGTTTATATTAAACATACACATTACGTTGATTTGTGTACAACGGCTTTAATGTGCAGTGAGTGCGCACCAGTTCTGCCAAAGAAAAACGCTATTAGTTTCATATACGTTTTTTTGAACATATGTACATAGTTTCTGAACCGTAAACTAGCTGCCGTAAAGCGTCGGCTACAATGGCAGCAGGAGTATACAGTAAGACGTAAGCAGTAAATAATAAGTTATTGACTAATGGGATTTTTGCAATTCAAGAATAATCGACTATGGTTGGTCAATAGCTTACTGCTTACGTCTTACTGTATACTCCTGCTGCCATTGTAGACGACGCTTAAAGAACCATTATTAAGCTGGCCACACACACTTTTTCGTAACAGTAACAGTAGGATTTCGACTAATTGTGTTACTCGATTCGGGAACGTACGGCCGTACGTTTTCAAATCGAGCAACGCGATTGGTCGAAATCCTACTGTTACTGTTACGAAAAAGTGTGTGTCCGGGGCCTTAATGCGGGGTCTACAAATGCGAGTCGTGGGTCGTGGGTCGTGAGTCGTAGGAAATGGACCAATCACAATCGAATTTGAGGAGAATAATCGACTGTGATTGGTCAATTCTTACGACTCACGACTTTACGACTTGTATTGTAGACCTAGCATCGAGCCTAGCATAGAAACGTTTAAACAAAAATGTTTTTAAAACCATGATTTAAGAAACGTATTTTTTACGTTTTTACAGTTAACAAAAATATCTATTTGTTAAATTTTTCTTTCAAAATTATAATTTGCTTTATCTCTCTCTCTCTCTCTCTCTCTCTCTCTCTCTCTACTACTACTCCCAGCCAGAGAGTGAACATATTAGGCTTGTTCGCGTTGCTTGAAATCCCCAAACATTTTTGCACTTGAAATGAGATAAATATATATTCGGCCGTTGGAAAGAGAGAAAGCGAAGATGTTGAGTGCAAAAAGTGCAAGCAACGCGAACAGACTCACTGGTTATACTGTGTAGTGCAAACGCTCGGTCACGGTTAGAGTTCCTATAATAAAGGTGCCAATTCATGGGACGCTAAAAAACAGCGTTGAGCGACGTCACGTGACATCACTATGATGCCAGCGTCAAGAAAGAGAAGTTGGATTTTTCCAACTTCAAGCGTCAAAGCCAAAGCAGCGCGAAGACGCCGAAATTTTGACGCTGTTTTCCTTTTCATGAATTTCAATTGACGCCGGCGTCAATTGTGGTCATGCGACCTTCTTGCTGCTGATTGCGTGGTCTATTTCCTTATGCACATGTGTATGGACCGTATGGACCAATCAATTTTCTTATGCTAAGACTCCATAGACGCGGAAACGCCGTGCGGTAGAGTGCGTTGACCAATCAGAAGGCTGCCGCAAGTCGCCTGCGGCAAAATCAAAATTTGTGATTGGTCAACGCACTCTGCCGCATGGCGTTTCCGCGTCTATGGAGTCTTAGCATTATGCTTACGCATTAAGGTGCCTTTTCATGCTGACGCTCGACGCTCATTTTCAGCGGCAAGAATGTCGCATGACCACATGTGACGCCGACCGCCGACGTCACGTGAACGTCATGAAAAAGAAAACAGCGTCAAAATTTCGGCGTCTTTGCGCTGCTTTGGCTTTGACGCTTGAAGTTGGAAAAATTTAAGCGGGGAGCACACACTTCTGCACAACGCATAATACGTAAGCATAAGAAAATTGATTGGTCTATTTCCTCATGCACATGTGTATGGACCAATCAATTTTCTTAGCAGAAGTGTGTGCTTCCCGCTTTACTACACAGTACAACTATAGAGTATAGAGTGTGGTGTATGGTACTCACTCATGTGTGCTACAGGAAGTGGTACGCTTCTGTTTTTTCTCTCATGTTATAAACAAGATTGTATATAAAATATAAACAAAGTTTGAATAAAGTTTCTTGTTAGTGCATTAACAAGAAGAAGATGAAACAAGTATTATTCACGATCTTTCTCTTAACCATTTTAGCGAAGGGTACAGTATTTTACTCGATACAAAAGGGCGTGGCTTTGAATCATTTCAGCGTATTCTTATATCTATATGTTATTTTGAAATAATAAGATTATTTTTGTCGCAGGCAACAGCTTATACTGTTACAGATGTAACAGTAATCATCCTGGATGTGGAACACCCTTAAATTGGTTATGGTATTGGGGGGAAACTTGCCCAGAGTACGACGACAAGTGTGTAAAGATAATCGAACGGAAAGGAGGTATTCAGTAACTTTATGCTTACTACATAGAGATGACTTGTTAAAATTTCCACCTGGCGTTTCACCCAACATAAAACATACAACGGCATATGTGTATGTACGTGTGCATTTTTTTCAGCGGAAACAATCATTACTCGCGAATGCCTAAGCTCCGTACGTAGTTTTAGAACGGATATTCCTGCGGATCATTACGAAGGCTGTAGACCTGCTGCTAAAGACGTGCGATTAGGCCATTACGTCAATAACAGTATTCATCAATTGGATATTCACCGTGATTATTACGACGAAGTCACTTGGTGTTTCTGTTACTTCGATCACAGATGTAACAGTGCAGAAGTTACGACCGTTTCAATATTATTGGTAACTTTGGAAATCGCTATACAATATTTTATATCTTGAGGCGGTTGCATACACGTAATTTTAGGCGAGATGGATATTTTAGTTTTTATACATTAAAGTTTATAGCATTTAAAAAATTTAAACGCACAAAAGCCTTAATATACAAAAATATTAACATACGACGTATCTTAAAATGGACAGCTGTCGAAATCGATAAAAGCTTTATAGGTATATACACACATACATGCATACCTATATACGTACGCATAACACACGCTCACCGTGCTCCGTGTATATAACAGCATATAATATGCACATGTTGCCTTTCCAACACTGATATGTCAGAGCTTAGATAACAAAAATTTAACATTTGTCTACATATACATATATATAGTTATAATGTACTATACTGAGCGAGCAACGTTAGATATTGTTTTATTAATAATATTTATCACCTGCCATTTGGTTCGTACATTTTGGTGTCAAAATCTTTATCCGCGCGTATTATTTGTTTTAATTTTAAGTGACTCAGTTTAAAGTTATTAGTTATTATGAAAATAATATTGTACTGGGTACATATTTATTTCAAATGACTGACGTTCTCCGCTTTTTATACATCCACATTTTGTTTTATTACACGCGCGCATGCACACGAATATACAAACACTTGTATTTAGTATTGTTAAGTATGTATGTTACATTAGGCCTGTTCGTTTTAACTGAACTTGCACGGTTCACATTTTTTCTTTTTCTCTCCAATGTGAAAAGAAAACAAAAGGAAATATGAGCCGTGCAAAATGTTCAGCTAAAACGAACAGGCCTGTTATTTTGAACATTCCCTTTAATCGTTTATGACATATACTAGTATATTACGTATACATATTGTTGATAACTATTTCCATGTAACAAAATCTATTTATGTGAAGATTGCGTGAACATGTTTTATGTATAGAAATATCATTACATATCGCAAAGCCGTCCATTAATATAGTAGAAGCAGATGACAAAGAAAATTTAAATGACATGTCTCGCAAAAATATTTCTTATCTGTAAAATATAAATTTACCGCTTTTTAGTATTAGATAGTAATATATATTATACGTTTTTTATATAACTTTTTTTAAATAAAATAAACGATATTTCTTTTAAGTATTTTGCCGTGAAACCGTGCTCGTTTATTAATGCAGGATTCGTTGTAGTATGTACTCAAGGAGGC